ATGTATTGGCATTCCTTAGATGATGGTAAGTTATTCCCTCTCTTGCATCAGCCCTTCATCGAAGAGAAAGGACGCCTTTCTCACGCCAAATATCACAGAGATACGCACCATGGAACCATATCGGCAGCTTTTACACGGCGACGCCAAAGCCAGCGACAGCATCCTTCTAGCCCCTTGTTCAAACCCATTCACTGGCTTCTTCCACTCCATCAGCCATGGCCATTTCTTCAACGCATACACCAGCCTAGTCGCCATCCTGTGTGAACCCCTGATCGTCGCCCTAGCCAACATTCCATTCAAGCCCGGCACGGCATATCAAGCTTACATGGTCGCTACCTGGATCTCCGTTGCCGTCTTAGGCATGATGCTCGTGGGCATCGTCTGGTTCCTATGTAGGAAGAAGACGCCAGGTATGATACGCAGACCAGACACCATCGCTGCTGTGCTTTTGTCCCTGTGTGGTAGCCATATGCTTGGTGAGTTCATGGGTATGGCTCAGATGGATAAGCGTACGAGGGATGGTATTGTTAAGAGGTGCGAGAGGAGATATGCGATGGGCCGGTCGGTTGGTGTGGATGGCGTGGAGAGGGAGGTTGTGGATGAGGATATATTTGTTGGTCAACAAGAGCCGCCTAGGATGAGGTTTGTGACGACTCATGGTCACACTGTGTTTGGGGGTTTGTTGGCTGATACCTAATTTATAGTACTGTGATTGAGTATTTGTATAGCGAGTTGGCTTGTTCGTCTGCTTCTACATTGATTGAGAATCGTTTGCCACCTATTCGTGCCTCAACATCGTAATTATCATACATTGACCGAGATCACCTGCCTTTCACACGTGGATCAGCAGCGTGACTGCCGCCATCATTCCACTGCCTTCATGTATTGCGTCGCTTATCGCCTCCCTCATTTCCCACGGCAGCGAGACTCCTTGCACTGCCTTTGCTGCCTTTGATATGTCCGGTCACTCTTACCACTGTAATCTCCGGAATCGATGTCTCTGGGAATCATTTCCGGTGTTGAGATCTCTCTGAAGCCTCGTCTAATCTCCGGGAACATAAAAATATATATCATGACTTCACAAGACACGCTCTCATACGTCAATGCCCGGTTTACCCCGCGCTTTGCCTTCATAGAAAGAGTGTTATAGACAGGATATGCCTGTAATCTCTAACTGGATAGTATAGTGCCGAGTAGTACCGGCAGCATGTTTTGAGCTAGAGGAGATGAGGCTGTAGGTAAACATATCACGACGCGGGTTCATTTTCTATAAGTTCTCTCACTTCCCCGTAGAAAATATTTTCTGCATCTAACGTTCACATGCTTCAACACTCACATTTTCTCACTATCCCCCAGCTCAACTGTTTTTGTACCGTTACCATTTCCTGCTCAGAACTCTGCGGGAACCACCATTGCACGCTCAATCGAAACTTCAAACGTGTCAAACACAGCTCTGGAAGAACCTCTTCTGGCAACTACCGGGCTTTCTGGGAGCCCAAACATGACCAAAGCTGGCTCGACAGTAGCTGAGAACACGCCAAAGCCCACTGCGCGAAAGCGAAAGGCCAGCCAATCCGTTACAAAGCCGAGGACCAAGAAGCCGAGGAAGGCCAAGGTAGAAGCTACCACCGAGACAATAGAGGCAGATCCCACGGTCATTGGGCATGGAGCTTACTCCACTCGCGCGCGAAAGTTCGTCTACAAGCAGAATTCCTCAGTCTTCGTTGGCAAGTCTGTCCCGAAGACTCCAGAAACTATGGAGTATTTTGAAAAGCAGAAGAAGAAGATAATAGAGGAAGAATCTTACCATCAGATCACTGAGGGGAGTGTCATCGTTAAGACCACGGATGGCTACGGTCTTGTGATGATGGTCAAGGGTGGAATGTACACCAACAGGCCTGGCGAGGAGAAGCAGTTGCGCGAGAGGTGCGAGGCTGCTTTCAAGGCCTTCACAAAAGCCTATCCCCCGGAGACTCCTGAGAAGACCGACAATCGGCATGTAATCGCCTTGGAGAATGAAAGGAAAGAGTGGACGAAGAGGGGCCTCCCTTGGGGCCGTCTGGTATATTTCATTCCAGTCCCAATGTAGAACAAAGCTGACCAACGCAAGCACTTGACACCATGGCATGAGAGCGGCCATCCCAAGGAGCCGCTGACACTCTCACGCAATGCCAGTAAGATCAATGCCACCCAAATGGACACACTCAAGGCCTTCATGCGAGACACGGCGTGGGAGCACGACCAGGGCAGCAATTGGCTCAGGGTCTTGGACGAAGAGGCATGGAGGCGCATGAATAAATGGTATCAGGACCTCCAGGAAGCAGGCAAATTCGAGCATTTATACCAAGGGCCAAACGGCTGCTACTCCGCGCTCGTCCCCATCGCCAATCTCGCGGTGCAACCGCATAGGGACCCCAAAGACGCACGTGGCAGCTGGACTCAAACAAATGCATGGGGTGACTACGAAGGAGCGTGGATTGTGTTCCCGCAGCTGAAGCTCATGATATTCCAGGAGCCGGCGACATCGTGTGGTGCAGGAGCTACTATCTCGAGCACTGGGTAACGCCGATTCTCAAGGGGCAACGTTTCTGCAACACGCGTTTCAACAAGGAGGACGTGGTGAACCCAAAGCCGCAGATTTATGTGTGTCCAGTCCCCGAGTGCAGCAATACGGTGGGGGTTGTGAGCTCGCTCAGAAGCCACATTGGGAAGTACCACTTCAAACTTTCAGATGCGGAAGTCGAGCAGATCACCAGTGGCATGGCTGATGGTGGTGTTTTTGATGAAAAAGAGGCGCGGTCGGTTGCTCGTATGTTGGCGACGAGAACTAATTTGCAGGATAAGAAAAAGCGAGAGCGGGAAGAGAAAGCCAAGCTAGGGAAGACAGGGAAGCTAGGGAAGAAAGGGAAGCAGGTGAAAAAAAGGGAAGCAAGAGCAATAAGCATGTCTGATGAGACCTCTTTTGGTGTGATCGAAATGGAGAAGCGTAAAAGCCTTATGTTTTAGCAATCAGGAGTGGAACTGAGTGTATTGACGATACTGCCTTAGAGGAATGGATGCTTGTCTACTGTCGATAAATGAACTTGAATTCTTGATGATAGGAGAGTTCCAATAGGCCTGACATTAGTGGTGGTAGGAGTACTCTGTGTAGTAAATCTAGAATTTCTGGAAGGCTCGGATATTTTCCGAAGGGTTTCCGAGATTCGGAAATCTCAGTCTATTCCTCCAATTGTTTTGAGCCAACAATTCTACATGCTATGCACAGAATTGCCAACAATCTTCGCCTCTATGGTCGTCATACGCGGCCGAACTGCTTCCCAGCTGGATGGCCGACCAGTTCCTCGCAATATCGACGTTACAGCACCCCTCCCATACTAAACCGATCGGACGATGTTACCAACGTGAGGGTGAAGACTGGCACTACCGGCTATGTATCCTTGACGTATATTCTCGCTGCCAGAAGTCCTCCTTGAGTTGTAAGCTAACGTCTGCTCCAGCATCCGCCACGCCTCACGTCCAGAAACCGCCAATCCTATCATCATTTACCTCAAACGTGGAATGCCCACATCCTACGGCTCTAGTATCGCCGAAAACATCTACAACCTCGCCACGAGCGCGAACGCAACTGTCGTCTACGTGGAGTACAGGCTTTCAAGAGCTTTCCCTTACCCTGTTCCGATCCATACTGTCGGTGAGCCTTGAACTCGCGACATAAGCACTTATGGCTGACGAACAATTCCAGGTTGTTCGCGCATACGACTGGGTGCAGGAGAACCTTGCTGGCAGTACAGCCAAGGCACATGATCAAATAGCACCCTCCAGGATTGGCGTATGCGGTGAACTGGTTGGAGGAAGCCTAGCCGGTATGCTGGCTTTGACGGAATGCCACAGTGCATCCCTAGGGATCAGTGCTGCGGCTCTTGGAAACCCAATCATTGATTGGACTGCGTTACATTCATCAGGAACAAGGCCGGAGTCGGAGATAACGGGTCGAATGAAGGTCACCAAAAAGAATCAAAAGTCCTTGGAGAAGAACCTATTGGCCATCGACTCTCTGGTGACATTACGGGAGGAGTACTTCCCAAAAGCGGAAAAATACCACGATCCCTTCACCAGCCCTCTTCTCTTCTTCCGTACCCCGAGTTCCGAACTACCACTCGAACATACACCTCCTCAGCCCTCCGACGGCGACTCGAATCCAGAAAATGCAGTCCTAGAGCCTACCAAAACCCGTCGGTTTCTTCGCAAGTATCCACCCACATATTCGGACCTCATACTTCCGCATATGAGAGTCAACGTGGGCAAAGAGAGCGTGCTTAGAGATCAAGGAATCGAGCTGGTTGATCTTATGCGCAGGAGCTTTGGTCGTTGGGAAGTAGATCGGTTTACACATCTGGGGAAGGACTATCCTCAGCGAGGATTTGAAGCTGTGGATAGGGAAGGACTCGGGTTGTGGGATGAGGAGGAGATACTGGAGATTGGTCATTGGTTTGGAGATGTTTTACGGAAGCCCTGATTGAAGCAAACATCGATGGACAGACCTCAAGATTGATGATGGCTCTCTTGGGGCAGTCTGGACAGAAGAGATCACTTCGTTTATCAAGAGCCCCAGATAATTGACTGCATACGTCACTTCAAGAAGTCGAAGTTGGTTGAACAGGCTACAGGAGCAAAAGTAAAAACAACGAATATCGCGAGCTGGGAGATTCGAACTTCCCGATGCCTTTCGATACTGCAGCATTAAGTACAGCGCCTTAACCACTCGGCCAAGCCCACTGTTTCTCAGGTTGGTGTTATCTGGCTTATGAGTAAGGCAATATTAGAACAGTTCGAAGGCTTGGCACATATTTCACATGGACCTTGAAACAACGACCCGAGAACTTGGCAGCTAAGGAGGTCTGTCCTCTCGCATGGCACTCGCAAGAGATTGAGGATGCCATGGGTGCAAATTTAAGCAGATAACGAGCTAGTATGTCTCCTCGAGCAAAAAAATTGGACATTGTGAGTTGTCAGATTCGAACTGACGCATCAGAAGATACTGGATCCCGAAACCAGCGCCTTTGACACTTGGTCAAGCTTGCTTTTTTGCTTGGATTGATTTCTTTCTTTCTATGACTCATGGGTGAAGAAATCATTGAAGCCCTGGCATTCCCTTGAACCACCAATCCACCAATAACAGCCAACGGTTAAATTCAAGTCTTCGCCTCTAATTCCTCTGACTGCCTAGAGCTCTATGGACCGTGTTCGAACGATGGTGGCCCTGATTCTCTCAATATCGCCCGGGTGTGACCTGTATACTGAACTCATCGCATAGAGTCTCCTAGCTTCCTGATTAGCAATCGTCGAGCCTCGTCTTGAAAAATTTCCGACAAACTCACCACAACGTCCAACCATTCTGAACCTGGAATGGCGGATGAGACAACATCCCCGCGATATCTCCGATCAGGTGATCAACGACAAAGTCTCCGTCGGAAGTAATGGAATAACTGTAGGTGTGAAGGAGGTGATGTGTGGGTGGGATAGCGACGATGTGACGGTCAGAAAGGGGAAGACCGTCGTGGCTGGGGTTGGCGGGGTGGCTGCGTGTCCAGGGGCGAATCGACAATCTGTCGTAGCGACGCCGTTCGAGGAGCAGGATTCTGGCTTCCATGTTTGGATGCTTCTGGAGGTGAGATGGTGGTAGAGAACGTATGCTAATCAGAGAAGAAGAGCGGAGCATACTTTATTGTCAAGAGGGACAAAAAGACGGCAGCAGTAGGGCATGTGCATCAACGGATCATACGAGGAGTGGCTGAGTGCATCTAACAAAGGAGCCAGAAGATAATATGGTGGCAGCATCTGCATGCTCCGCATGATATTTGCTGGAAGACTACATCACTGAGGAAAAATTTCTCGGAGTATGCTCGCCACCTCATCTCTGCTCATGTTCGCGTCTTTGCACAGAAGTCCATGGATTACGCTCGCGTTCTCTTAGATGTTCAGTTGTGTTGCTTTGCCCTTCGGGTCTGCCTTTGCGGATTTGCCTTTCGCGTTTGTCTCCTTAGGCTTGCCCTTCCCACGCAGGATTTCGATATCGAATAGCGATGACCATGACCTTTTCACGGTATTTACTCCTGTCGCGCTCAATCATTCCGACCTCTTCCAAGCGCCTCAATGGAAAATGAACTCATGGCAATCGCGAAGGGGTTCATGAGAGAGCTTACCACTCTGACCAGAAATCATCGTCAGCGCGGGATGGATTTTCGTTTCCCAGAAATCCAGTCAAGTAGTCTATGAGGCCATCCCTTCTTGCTCCTGTGGAGTCGGCATGGTTATAGATTGCGGGAGACGTCCTTGTACCGGACACTAAAGCAGGATCCCATTGGAGGAGGGGAATTGGTGTTGGTGGGAGTTGACGTTCCGATATCCCGATGCCCAATGAACCAGGCCCACTCAGGACTTTCCAGTCATAACTTGAGTCCTTCTCGGGTTGATAACGCCCTCCGAGGCGTAGGAGCCTTCTATCCATGATCTGAGCCATCGCGAATATGTTGTAGATGAACGCTTCTGATAGTCAAGTGAGAAACTTGAAAACCTTGCCTTTTATATCTGATCTTACTGGGCATCAGCAGTTACTTATCATTCATTTTCTTGCAAGGCAATTTACCTATGTTCGGGTAGATGGCTCATGGGTGACAGTACATCCCGGGAAGAGCATTTCAACATTGACAAATCTCAACTCAAACATCTCATTAATTTCTGCGTTACCGGCTTCCTCTGATCAGAAACACGGAGCTCTCCGAGTCCAAAGCATGAGTGCGAACCATACGTACCTTGAGCGATGAGTTTTGATCTAGAGAGAACATTAGCTTGCAGAGCTCCATTCTGGCTTTTTGTGTCACACGAAAATATGTCTCAATATCTAAAACGCTACCAGAAAGGAAAGGGAAGACAGCAGCCGCGTGAGTGCATGAATTCATTACACTGTGACTAATTAAATGCTAAAGAGCACATTCTAGGTGCTAGTAGGATTGCAAGAATTTGCGGTGACATCAATGCATGTTCATGCTCCATGGCCCTTAAGCTTGGTTACTGGACATGGAATGTGATCCAAGCATTTCGAACCATGTGATTCAACACTCGGATTATTTCCCCTTAATTCTCGTTTGGTTCCCTACGCTCAGGATATAGTCCAGAGCTCTAGAGGTATCTAATAACCAGGACAGGAACCGTCTCGATACCGTCGCCATCTGTGTCTTCGATCTTCCCAACCGAGTAGATGACCCTAGACATGGTACCTACATTAGCCTAGAAAGCATGCTGCTAAGACGCAAAGGTACCTACCACTCCTTCCACTTTCTAGTATGATCCTGGAATCTTCCCTCGCGTACGACTGCGTTCACAAAGTCCACTACGGATTTGTCAGACTGGGCAAGAGATTTTGGTAGGTTTGACATGATCTCGGCGTGTTCGGAGCTGGGGGCTTCGTATCAAAGGGTTGCTGGGTGGTGGGATATACGCCATGAATTCAATGACTTGTTGTCGTACAAGTTGTTCCGCTCAAGGATGAGGAGTTGTCCGTCCATTTCCATCTTTAAGGATGCTGAGGGTGGTTAGCCAGTCACGAGCGAAGATGTTGACGAAGCTAAGTACTTTGACTGGGGTCAGAGGGTTGTTGTGTTGATGAAAGTGATCTTTGTGTTTGATGAGAGTGAGATTTGGAGATGTGCTGGAGAGGAGAAAGAAAGATGGAGGATGGATGCTGGAAATTTCCCTAGGACTGGCGGTATCTCACGATGATGACTATGACTGTCACAAGCCATTCGCTATCGATCTTGTCACCCTCGATAAAGCCAATCTCTCCGATAGCATGCAAGCGCCTGAACATCGTAATCAGCACTCACCCAATGACGATCCCATGAATTGACAACCATGGTGTACACTCGCTTGGCGACCCCCCGAAATGGGCACAATACCGGTTATGGATTAATTTGCAAGGGTACATACCAATCAGTCCAAGTACCACCATCATCCTTGAAGCAAGCATCTGCCAGGAGCTGAGTGAGGAAGGTCATGAGAGAGTCCGGCGTCGTATCGTGATCGAGTAGGGACTTTGGGTTCTTGGGAATCTGAGCCTCAGATACAGCGACCCCTTTGAGATCGTTTGTGACGCGCCATTCGTGATCGACTCCGCGCTCGAGGCGGAGGAGTCGTCCTTCCATGGCGAAGGGGATTGGATCGATGTTGGAAGGAGTGTAGATTGGTGATGGTGATGGTAGGAGTGTAGACTCGCATGCAATCCGACAGCTCTTGGTACCTTCTAGCCTGCAAATTTCAATACCTGAAGTGCACGTATCTTGAGACCCCAGCAGTTGCACCTCGCCGAGCGTATGGATCAGCTCCTCGACGAGTACCTCGACTAGCACCTATGAGACCGTCTCGACGAGTAACTGTATAGGCAATTGTATTGGCACGTGTGATTGTGCTAGCATCAGCACCGTTGCCGGCATCAGCGCCTACACCACCAGCTTTACCAGCACCAGTACGAGCATCAGCATCTGTCTGCTCTGCTTCATTGCCTTGTTAATGCGTTACTTGCCCTCTGCGGTACCTCACAATAATAACCCTCGCTCTCGCGGTCCACCGAGTACCACCGCCCTCCTCCGTATAACGATCAACATCTCCAACAGCATGCAGACGCCTAGTCAGGTTGTCAGCAGCCATAGGTTTAGTCAATATCAAAGTTGACATACCATACTGTCCAAGTATGGCTGCCTTTGAAGTCGTGATCTGCCATCACATTCTCGACGAATCCGATGAGAGACTCGCTTCTATCTCTTGTAGCCATATCGCCGTGAGATTATAGCAGAGATGGTGGGTTGGTTAGGATCTGGCCTTAGGAAAGAGGAACGCCAAGGGTCTCGAGACCGTTCGTGACATGCCATCGTCTCGCCGGTCCGAAGGATTTGCGTTGGATTCGTAGGAGTCATCCCTCCATTGTTGAGAGTGTGTGTTCGGTGATAGGTGTTAAACTTGATCGATGTCTTTTGTTTTGAGAATTGCTGCTGATTTGAAGGAGACTTTGTCTGTGCTCGCTGGAATATCACCTTTTGTACCTGTTTATTGTGGACGGAAGAGTTATGGCAACAAAGGTATAGTAAGGGATCTTGTGACCTGTTGTGCTACTAGAGGAAGGACCAATATTAGTAAAGATAGCTAATACATGAAGTGGCAAGAATGCTTACACGGTCCTTTCTGCACGAGCTTCCTCGCACGATTATCTATTGGCAATACAGTACGCCGGGAGATCTTGAGACCTTTCGTGCTACAAGGACAGAAAGCTAGGGTAGCAAAGGAGAAAAAGTACTGATTAGCTATTCCACCATCTAGTATTCAACAAGCCCCTCGTAAGCAAATCAAACTGCACGACCGGCAAAGGACCTTCAAGCACGCAACATTCAGAACAAAACCACCACCAAACTTGTCTATCCCCCTCGTCCCCTCGCCCTTAAGCACCTAGGTCTCGCGGTACCTCACGATGATAAATGACAATTTGCATCCCAGTGCCTTCGGTATCTTTCATGCCTTCGATATCCTCAACGGCATGCAGACGTCTGTAGTGGGTCAGATTCAGTAGCTAGAGGATTGAGAGTACGTACCGTGCAGTCCAAACATCCTCAGCTTCAAATCTCTCGTCCGCCAGAATATGGGACACTTCCTGTATGAGCGTATCTTCTTGCTCTCTTAGGCTGCTGGAGCCCTCAAGTTCGACAGGAGACTTTGGTATTTTGGAGATTTGAGCGTCAGATAGAACCGACGCCTAGACTCTCGAGATTGTTTGTGATGCGCCATGATTTGTCAGCTGTCTCGTCATACTCGTTACAGAAGCGTTCGAGGTACAGGAGGCGTCCTTCCATTGTTGAAGGTACTTGGGCAAGGCTTGGAAATTCCATGTTGATGTTGGAAAATGGGTAGGATTGATGAGAGTGGTTTTTTGTGATTTGGTGATGTGAAGGAAGTATCGTTCATCTTGACCGGAACAAGTCTTCAAGTACCCTACAGCTGCTTTAGTATCACAGAGTCTTGTTAGCGAAATACACTG